GAGATCAATGTAGGTTATGGTACTTAAAGTAGCAATAATATACATTGACTCCGCAAAGATTGCAATTTAACGAATGAACTGCATGTTGGCATGGTCAAAGGCCTCTTAGTCTCTAACTTAACTACACAACAAAATTCATTCTTGCCTGGGGTGTTCGAAAACAATACCAAAAACCAATTAAACGATGTCTCAACATCGAAAAAAACAGTGACTAAGCAACCAGTTAAACAACGTTTCAACATTGACAAAAGCAGTGATTAAGCAACTAGAAAACGACGTTTCGGTGCGCCACTCACTCTGAATGTCAGATTTGATCATGTTATCGCGTCTGGTAGCATTATCCTAACTGGCGTCATCCCCGTACGGGCCACCAATATGTAGTATGACATATACTGGATATATTCATACATTTCACGGGTTCTTCATTTTTCTGACTGTGTAAATGTCGTGCATTGAATTTAACAGAAATGTAACGAGAGACGTTATTTATCTTTGACCCATCAAAATGAATGCGGTCATTTATTTACAGAATCAAAGTTTAACATCAAACATTTACATTAATTTGGCAAAATATGAAAATAACAACAGCATAGTTTTACAGGAAGTGAGAACAATACGGCGATTGTTTTCACTTTTCAGCTAAAACGGCAGACATCAATTAATCAGTTTTACAATCAGGAAAACCATACGGCCATGATTTTCCGTTGTATCACCACAGACATTAATGAAAACATCTGGATTAATTTTTAGGAGAAAGGAGAGTTTAAGATGGAAAATGGAGATTTATCTTACAGAGAGATGTGTGAGGGAATTTATCTGTAGTACCAGAACAACACGCTCTTTGGAGAATAAGCTTGGCCCACGGTACGCTTGGTCGAAATAGAACTTTTACCTGGCAGATGATAATCAGCGTCGGTGTAGAGTTCCCTTCTGACTCTTTCAGCGTCTCCGTGAGGACAGCCAAACCCCTAGGAGTCGTGTGAGGTTATCCAAACAGAAGTTATAATCCCCAAAATCGTCTCTGGATTCTGGATTCCAATAGAAGCATCCTGGACGCCTGCGTTAGCATCCAAGAACTCTGAACTCTTTAACTCTCTTCAGAGAGTTAAACTCTGGAACTCTTCTCCAGGAAAAACTTTCAAGCTCTGAAAAACTCGTCTCGACTCATCTCGACACAGTCTTCAGACCTTTTTTCGACACCTCTCATTGAGAACTGGGAAGTTGCCACATTTAAATGGGTTCGACTTCCGGGTCATTTGAGAGCTTTTTGATTGGTCGATGGACCAGAACAGAGGTGTGGTTTGTGATGTAAGGTGTTATGGAAATTCAAGGATAGAGATTAAGATTGTTTAAAACAGACAGAAAGATTATTGGAGAAAACCAGACTTCGTGGAGTCAAACTCTCCTGTATCTTCTGTAAAAGTTAAACATGACATTTCTTTTCAGTAAACTTTTTAGTTGACGAAACCTGAACTTTAACACACACTTACAAACTTGCTCATTGAAGACAGAAAAATCAAGAAATGCATATTACCCTGATTTCTTCTTTGAATGAGGAATAAAAATCATTACTTACTGTTTATGTAAATAAAAATGAGTAGTTCTCTTCAACCTGTAAACATTGAGTGAACTAACACAATTTGATTATCAAACATTTGTAAAATAGTAATGATCATAGAGAATTGTCATTTCTACTTGATTAATTCAAGAAAGAAAGTCTCAGGATGGGTCAAACTGTATTTCTGGATGCAGATCAATGAAATAACAGTTTCTGTCCATCTGGTCAGATTTGACATCAGGTCAAGTTCACTACAGATACATGGAGAAAAGACACAATAATCAGTCAGAGAGATTCAAGTTAAAAAGTATACCAACATTTATTAAAGCTTTCAGCTGAAAGGAGACGCTCTTACCCCAAAGCAACAGAAATACAACAAAAACCCAAGACACGTCTGACCGGAGCTTCCAGGTTCCTCTGTATTTAAACGCAATAGCTCCACCCAGAGACGTGTCACACATTCTTACAGTTCTTTGTCTAAACTAGTTCAAACTGATGTCTTCATTTCCTGGAAGTCCTTTTATGGAGTTGTTTTATTATTTTCTTCTGCCGTTCCAGTTTACTAGTGATCTTGTCATCAGGTGGGACACACACCAGCACCTCTGTTAGTTCATGTCCCGTACACAAAAACTCAAATACATTCTCTGGCTTAGTTCAATCAGTACTTGTTGATACCAAAAGGCAAGCAGATCCAGAAGCCAAGTAGATACAGGGCAAGATACAGTTGTGATACATCGAGCAATACAGCACAGCAGATAAGAGTTTACATGAGGAAAACAGTTTGTATGTATTGTCAATTCAATCCAGTTTATTTATATAGCGCCAAATCACAACAAACAACAGTTGCCTTTGTGCTTTTTCAGGATGGGAGACTGTGACAAAATGAAGATTCAACAAGTCTGCTGGCTTCCTTAGATAGAAAAGTCAATTAGTAAAGTTCTCTATGTATGTAAATGTTTCTGTTCAGTGCCCTGAGATGACTTCTGTTGTGAATTGGTGCTATATAAAAAACTGAATTGAATTGTGTGAACTGATTTAGGCATTGGGCAAAGGGGGTTTATTTCTAATCCTCATGTGCACAAATATATTGCCCTTAGGAGCAACAAATTCAAACATGTGCACAAGTTTATAATTTCAGTAATATTAATTCACAATAGTGGCATTGTAATATAAAACGGTCTAAATCAGGATTTTAATAGAGCAGAGCATCAGGGTACCTTTAGTGACCTAAAAATGTCATAAAGTATTATTGAAAATCCTTTCATCGAGTTTAAAACGTACTTTGTATTTTAACCTCTGACAGTAGTAACAAAGTCAAGAAAAGTGAACAATAGCAGCTTTATTGGAAACTTGGGTGTGATACAATGTGAGCACAAATAATAGAAAACCAAAATGATGTAAAAAAATAAAAATAAAATAAAATATGACAGAATTTAAATGTGGTAAAATGTTGGACATTGTCATTTTTAGGTGACTTTGTTTTTAGCAACACTTTTCTGGCAGTCCTTAGCCAAAATTATGTTGAAACACTTAGCAAAACAGATTTCCTTACAATGAACCATAAAAAACAACAAGAAACCTATGTAACCTGTACCAAATTCTTGTGTATTAGTACAAGATGAGTGTTTGTTTCAACCATTCCAGTTGATAAAAGTTTACATTTTTGGACATCCAAAGCTAATAGTGCTGTTAGCGTTGCTAGCACAACAGCACAGTAATGCAGTATTGTCATAGGAAAATGTAAATGTTCTTGAACTTAACTCTAGAAGTATATTTAACATTTTAAAACAGAGGAACAGTAAAGTGTGAAAAGCCTAGGAGGCACTTCAGTTAGTTCTGTACCAGTAATTACTTTGGAAAAACAAAAAGTATTTTCTCTGGCACTATCTTCACCAAAAAAATTATATTCCTCCTTTGTTCATGAACCTTGGGTAGTTTTTACATGCATAGAAAAAATAAAGCTATTTAGGGGAAAGGAAAAGAGCAAAAAGAACGTCATTAATATTAAAGTACCATAGTTCAATTGATACGAAGCTTAAAGGCCCTCTTCACACTGGATGAAGACCCTAATACAGTCTACATAGTCTACGGGACGTATTGGAACATGGCTGAATCATGTCAAGTTTTTAAAGCCATCTTCCATATGATGGTAATCATGATGCTACTACATTCTTAGTCCTCACCAAACAGGTTGCCATTTCCCACGTCCCCAAGATGCTCTCCTGCACCCTTACCGCCCTCTGTGTACTCAGACTGCATCAAGATCAAGCTACAGGTATCACTTCTATCCTAGGTTGTTTCCATGACATTGAAGCCAAAGAATGAGGCCTGTCTTTCAAATTCTCAATTATCAAGACACACCAGAGCCCAGTGGCTCCACATCAGGGATACACTGCCACCACGCTCCAGCTCACTCCACCCTGATTCACTGCCATCACAATGCACTATGAAGACCTTGTAATGGAAGTTTTGTACATGCTCAAATCATCATGATCCTTTAATGCTCCATCACATGTAATGGGGAGTTCATTGTGTTGGGTACTGTCACCCAAAATTTACTAAGATTGGATTCTAAGTCAGGAAGATTATTTGAAGTACTTCCTGCTATCAGCAGGTTCACATACTCCCAAGTATAAGGATTGATTATCATGTTTATCTTCTTATGGGAGTATGTCTTAACACTTTCAAGTTACCACTAAAAGTAAAGTACCTTTGAAATATTTAGTCTTATTTAAAAGGTTATTTTGACAAGCACAAGTTACATTGCAGTTTATTCAGATTTGAACACACAATTGCATGGGATTGTGTCTAACAGTTTTTAAGACATTTTAAGCCACAAACGTAGTAGTAGTGGAGAAACAGACCAATTGTGCAATTCTGGGTACAATGAATGTTAGCTCAAATTCCTTTCAGTAGTTACAGGAATTGTTTAGGATAAAATGTAAAAAAAATTAAGCTACAGTTGTATTATAAAATTACTCAAGGCCTGACAAGCATCAGTCATCCAGTGTACTCACAGAGTCTATGTACCAAATAATAACAATAGTATTAATACAAAACATGTACGTATTTGTGAAATCAAATTTTTTTTTTAAATACTCAGACATACATGAGTTCACGAGTGTACATTTCAGATACTGTAGTCAAAACAATGACGTCAATATATATTAAATGCATAACTGTAATATTTAACATTTTATTTTACCTTTTCCAATAATTACAAAGAACAACAAAGGTTTGGTTTACTGGAAAAACACCAAAAAAGCCACAAAAATAGGCCATTACCCTCCAAACTTTCCATTTAATTTTCAGGGTATTTTATTGGTAAAGCAATAAGTTCCTGGTGGCAGTGGCTGTGTGTCGTGAAAACTAAACTCGACCCATGAGTTCTTTAAACTGTCCTTTCACCAGGTGATAGGCAGTAATGTCAATGTCAGCCATTCTTTCTTCCTTCAAAAGTCCCTTGTGGTTTGCACGTATTAATGTTTTCAGAGGCAGCTGATTTACAAAAAGTTGGAAGTCACAGCTTGGAATATACTCTTCTTGGGTGAAAAGCTATACACCAAGCAGAATGCCCATGAAGTCTGACCCATTCTGTATTGTAATGGAGGCACCAGCTGCATTATCCACATATATGGAGGTGTATTGACCAGCCTGCAGGAGAAAATTAAACCAAATGTTGATAATAACAGGATGAACAGTTTTCCATATTCTGTGCATGTTTGTCTATCATCTCACCTGTAGCTCCAGCAGTCCGTGCACACTGACAGTAAATATCTTGCTGTTGCTTTCCAATCCAACAATCATCTCCAGTGAACTGCAATGACAAGATAAAAAAAAAGTTGCGTGACATTCGTTAGGAGAAGGTCTAAACAAGTGTTTTGTATCTGACTTTAACCTTTGATGTTCTGGTCAAGGAAAATAAAAACTTTAAACACTGGGGTTGTTGAAAAAAACTTAAAACATTTTTGTTATTATTATTGCCCTAAACAAATTAAAAAAATCAATGCTTTTTGTCTTGATGTTAATGGTTTCCTGTTAAAATTTCATAATTTGCTTTACTTTTAAACTTTTACATTTTCTGTAGATTCCCCATTGAAAATCCCATCGTTTGTCTTCAAGATACCAATGCAAATCTTTATGAATGGTTCAGTGAATGTTAAGAGGGTGAAGCTGAAAAGTGATGCTTAAAATCTAGCAGGACAATAACATGTACCTCTAGAAATGAACCGTTACAAAATTCTTTAGGGTATTTTCAAAAGGACTATCACCAAACTGATGAGAATGAATAAATGTTAATAATAACATCCCTGTGGCTTCTGGTAAATAGTTAAAAACTTAGTTGGATTAAATGGAAAACAGTAAATGGACTGTCCTGTCCTTACCCTGTGCCTTGTCCTGGGCCACTGTATCTAAGTAAGGTACTCAAAGCTCTTTACAACACAATCTGTGCTTTCATTTACCTCCACACACACATTCATACAGTACTCTACTGCATCTCTACAAATGTAATCTGAATCTATAGGGACTATTCAGTGCTTTAGATCACATTCATACAGTGATGGGACACACATCAGAGGCAATGAGGGGTTCAGTGTCTTGCCCAGGGACACTTTAACATGTGACTGCTGGTGGAATTGAATCACCAACTCTCCCATTATAGGTTGACTAACCACTCAGCCACAGTTACCCCATTAGGAATATCTTGAAGCTATCCCATCTAGGTATAAAAGGTTCCTTTCAAAAATTGGGTTGTCACGTCAAAATCCAAGATGACCAACACTGTATACATACATGATATATATACATAAATATATATATAATATATATATATACATACATATAAATATATATACATACATATACATATATATATATATATATACATACATATACATATATATATATACATACATATACATATATATATATACATACATATACATATATATATGTATATACATATATACATATATATATATATATATA